TGCTGCGCCGCGAACATGGCGTCGGAGGGGATGATCCTGACGAACCACGACCACCAGATCCGCGTCGGCGTCCTCACAGGTACCGGGCCGCGCCGGGCACCGCGCCGGGGACACGCGGAGGGTGGCCGCGGGTCGGTGCGCGTTTCAGGCCGCCCCGCGGGGTGCCCCGCCGGCCGGCTGTCTCTCCCGCGGCGGCGCCGCCGCCGCTGCGCAGGGAGCGCCCCTCCGCCGTGCGTGCGGTATCCGAGGCCCGGAGCCGGGGTCGGGGCGTGGGGGCGGCGCTCCGGCCGCCGGCGGACAGCGTGAGCGCGGAGCCGGCCGGCGCCGGGGCAGCGCTGCCGCAGGCGGGCGGGCGCCGCAGCCGCGGGGACTGACCCGGGGATAACCCGCGCGAAGGGGACGGAGCGCGCGGGTGGGCGAATGCCGGAGGGGATGGGGGGGTCGGGACGTGGCGGGGCTTCCTCCGAACGCGGCGGAGCCGTGAGCGCGAAGGCGCCGGAGAAGGGAGCCCGCGGCAGGCGCAGGCTGCGGGCCGGCAGGTGCCGGGCCTGCCTTCCCTGGGCGGGAGGCGGCCGCAGCTCCCGGCCGCGGGAATGCCCGAGCGCGGCACGCTCCGCACGGCAGCTCCTTTGGGATGGCTCCTTCCCTTCCCCCTCCCTGGCCTTTACTTTGGGAATTGGGAGGGGGTGGGTGGGGATGCTTGTGCCTGTGTGCTCTCTGTTGGGAGGGGGAGGAGGGCATTTATGATGCTGCTGCTCATAGCGCACGGATGATCCTTTAATAAACCCGTGGCACATGACCTGCGGTGGTTGCACAGAAGGGCTGCCGGAGCCGGTACGCGTGTGACAGACTGGGGGGTTCCTTTGCCGGGCCTTGGCGGGGATCCCGGTGCCCCGCGGAGCTCGGCGCTTCGGGGGACGCGCGGCGCGCCCAGCAGCGGAGCCCCGAGGGCTTCCAGTGCGTACGGGCGTCAATGCCCTTTCTGTGCGAGGAAGGGGCGAGAGATTTTGGCGAAATTTTTAGGTGTCAAGCTCAGTAGGTTTCACCGCGAGCCTGGGAAGACATGTCTGTTCATGGAAAGCAACGTTGTGAGCTCGGTTCGGAGTAGGAAGATGTTCGGAGTGAAAGAGGGGACATTCATGGCAGAGGAGGCCTGGAGTTAACCCGAAAGTTATTTATTACCGCTAGCGGTGTTTAACCGCTGGCCCGAGCCTGCGGGAGCCCCCGGCGCTGTTCCCCTGCCGGGTGCTGATCCCGCCGCCGGCAGCCAGGGATGCCGCGAAGGCTGGAGCCCTTCCCTTCTTCCCTTCCTGGGAAGCGCTTGGCAAGGTGATGGTGCCGGTAAACCGCTAGAAAAGCATGCAATATACAAGCGGAAACCGCTAGAAAAGCATGCTGTATACAAGTGGAAATCCTTAGCGTTGCTTTCAGGTTTCAGGCAGTCAGAGCCTTAATATGGATAGACCGTGTTGGACCAGATGCAAAAGTCACATGGGGGGATTTGTTCCCTTTGTTCCTGAAGGATAGGACATGCTTGCCACTACCTATTATTGTAAAAGTTAAAGTGAGAAGGGGGTTCTGACCGAATGCTCTTTACATATTTTGTACAAATTCATGGTGTGTAACATGGGTTATTATTTTCCTTTGATCAGAGAGTTGTAGTAATTTTCACATGTGTTTCCAGAATGCAGTAGCAGACATATATGGTGCTATAATAATTYAAATTATTTTATTTTCTGCTATAAATCCTGTTTGATCATTRTTAAACTCTTTTAACTTTGTATCATAATTTGCAATTTCATTGAGAAGAGCTCATGGCCTAATTTTAATATTTTGTTTTTACAGGACAGCCAAAAGGCGTAAGCAAACAGAACAGTTTTAGGTTTTTTCCCCTTAATGTAATTGTTTTAAATTCCAAGCTGAAAATTTCTGCAAATAATTTTTTTTTGCCATTTTGAAAGGGAACACCTTGTTTTCTTACAGTTTTCCTAGCCCCCTTTTTGCTTCTATTAGTAAACATAAAATTTTATATAAATGTCATAGCATGTATTTGGCCAGCCTTAATTATTTTCCACTCTGACATCTCCTTTAACCCTGGAAGAGAATATTTGTACTTTGAAGGATTTGGACCCTCTAGCTGTTTCTGCTGTTTCAGCTATGAAAAGACAGCATATTAAAAATGTACTCTTCTGAATTTTTCTCATAGAAATGAACTAATAATTGCTTCTTGGCTGGTGTATGGAGGARTAAGTGTAGAAATGCAAAGGTTAGGTATGTCAACTGATTTTTTTATTTTATCATTTAGAGTAGCTTAGTGATCAGAAATTAGTTAATTAAAATAATGAYTCCTTTAGCTTTTCTAATTAAGATTATGGCCATATGTTTGTTTTTTAAGCAATATATACTTGTGGTCTTATCAGCACAGGCATACAGATTTATGTTTCTGTTAGACCTGMTATGTACAGTTCAGAAAATAACCAGTGCTGCACCTTATGGTTGTATTCAGATGGAATTTAAATTTACTTAGTAGTAACTTCGTTGAATGAATTTGGAGTAAAGTTGTATGTTTATTTTTGAGGACATATAAAAATTGTTTGGGCATATTGTTATTCTTATCTGTTGTAGAGACTGATACACATGGCTTCAGAATATATTGAGATCAGTAATGATTGTCATATAGCTTAGTTTCATTACATTGTTTTGAGTAAATTACTGTATTTGGTTTTGCTTGGTAGTCCTCTGTGTTTATGTATATATTGCTGGTTTCCATCTAGAAACAAATGTATGTTTTTCCACTTGTGGCAAATTAAGACAGGTACAGTGGATTGGAGAAGTAGAAATTTTGGTTATTGTTTACCCGAAGTAATTTATTGTGTTAAAATTATGCAGAATGGGTTTTTGGTTTTTTTACAAAAATTACTTGTTAACTTCTTTTATACCTGAACTGTCAGGGTCTTTTACTAAAGAGCCAATGATAAGAATAGAATCCATAATTAGGACATTTTCTCAATGTGAAAGAACTGTCTTCCTCAAATCAGGAAAAATATTTTAGAGTATACAGCATCTATGGACTTGAAGATATCACTCATTTATTTTTCAGTCTTAATACAGAGAGTTGTAGACTTAAGCAGGAGGAAATATGAAACTGGCTGATTACAAAACTCTGAAACTTGCAGACTAGAGGGTTAYGTCTTATGCACACWGGAAGCCTCACTAGTTTGTGGATAGAAAATTGAATTCTAATCTTTGTATGTTATCATTTCAAGAAGTTTTGCAATTTGTGAAAGGAGTGGAACTGTGTATGTGTCATATTCAGCATCAGGATTTAGTGAAGTGTTGAGTTAGAGATATTGCTCACTTAGGTTCCCARCCTAGGTTTTCTCTCTGTTACCTTTCATATGCTGTGCGAGCGCATGAGCTACTAATAGAGCTTCAGTGTTGTGATGAGGTTACTCTTATGGTGAAATTTTAAAAGGGCTCTAATRTCAGATTGGGAGATTTTTGTGATGAAATAAGAGAGTTGGATTAACAGTGTCCAAAGGTTTGTCATTGAAGTGTTCTGGATATCTTCTTTTGAAAAGGAAACAGTCATAGAGGAACARGAAATGTCAGGTAGATAAACAAATCAAAAAGAGGAGAGATCTTTACATTTATGGTAGAGGTTGGATTCTCTGTGTGCTCTGTACTGTTGTGTATCAGTGCTTCCCTAGTAAAATAGAAGTACTGAGTTATTGTGGTTGCCACTTGCAAACCTTTCATATTTGGGATATCTCTAACAAAACAGTTGTTAATCAGTTACCAATGGTGTCAGGTTATTGAACCTGGTTTACTAAGTACAGAATTTCATAATGTTGAAGTTGGCTAAAAAAGGGGAAAAAATGTGTGCTTTGCCCAGAGTTGAATCAATATTCGGTCACCCTTCACTGGTGGTGACAKTGGTAAAAGTTATATAATCTGTGACCTTTCTTGTTTTGTCAGGGACTAAAGCAGACCCTTGACTGGAACCGTCCAGAGACATCTGAATGATGTTGCCATCTCCACTAGCCCAATGGAAAAAAACAGACTCTGGTTCTCCTGTTTGCTTCTATTTTGTGGTTTTTTCCCTCTCCATCCTAATTTTCTTTTTATTTGCCTCCCTCCTTGTTTTCCCTCCAGTAAGCATGTAATGTAGCTGGCCAAAACTTGAGATTTTGTTACATGTTTGGCTTTTACAGAATATCCCTCAAAAAAGATTGTCAAATTTTGGGTTGGCTTCATTCTGTGTGTCTGCTTTTGAGGCAGGTCTGTGAGAAAGTCATCACCAGACACAAACACCATTTTCTGTCTTTGCTTCTCATTTTSTATTGTTTCTTCCTTGCATAGGAAAAAGCTCTTAGTCTAACCTTTTTTTTTTTTTCAGAATACCTTTACAGTGTTTGGTATTGCTTTAAAAGTGGTACAGCTTTTCCCTTYCATAAAGGGAGTAATGGATTTTGGCAAACTTCAGATATATTGTTCTTCCTCTATGTAAAGATTAAAACTTTGAATGATAGCTGTTGCCATAGGCMTACTCAATAAAGCAGACAAATGTTTTGAATGTGGAACCTCAGACTTTGTCCCCATAACACTGTAGTGTGAAAGATTGCACCCATGTCTTTGTGTCAGACTGCTTAGTTTGCTGGAATGACCGTGGGTGTGGACA